TTCCTGGCTTCCAGTCCCCCTCTTTGATAAACTTCATCTCCCGTCTTACTTTGCTACCTCATGTCAATCCTTGAAGAGCTGGCGTCTCATGCGTTACAGTCTGGTTGTCATTTCTATGGCAGTGGGACTCCAGTTCGTGGGAAGTGATAAGAGTCCTTTTGGCTGGGCGTGGTGGCTCACGCCTGTAATTGCAGCACTTTGGGAGGCCGAGGCAGATGGATCATGAGGTCAGGAGTTTGAGACTAGCCTGACCAATATGGTGAAACCCCATCTCTACTAAAATACAAAAATTAGCCAGCATGGTGGCGTATACCTGTAATCCCAGCAACTCAGGTGGCTGAGGCAGAAGAATTGCTTGAACCTGGGAGGTAGAGGTTGCAGTGAGCTGAGATTGTGCCACTGCACTCCAGCCTGGGTGACAGAGTGAGACTCCATCTCAAAAAAAAAAAGTCCTTTTGCCATGTAAGATTTCCCCTCCTAGCAGTGTGGAGCTGTGGTTCCCACTGCCCTGTGATAGTCCTGCAGGATGTGAGGTCCATGCAGGACCATAGTAGGAAGGCCTGTGTCCCAAGGGATAATCTGTAGTGGGACAATGCTGTCTCAGTCATGGAGTCACTTTCCCATGTCTTAGTCTTCTCTCCATGTGAAGTTATAAGAAAAATAAGGCTCTATTTTCATTCTTTTTCTCTCACTTTCTCTTCTTTTACCCCAACTTTTCTTCTCTCACTCATCCATTTTAGAGTATTTCTGTTTAGAAAACAGACTGGTGGCCCCAGGTGAACCCTTCACCACATTCGTATGCTGTGATGGGAAGGCCAGGGGAGGGGGTCTGCTTTCCTGCTCCGTGAAACCCAGTGAGGCCTGGGAGGAGAGTGGGTCTATTAGTCTGTTCTCGCACTGCTAATAAAGACATACCCAAGACTGGGTAATTTATAAAGAATAGATGTTTAATTGATTCACAGTTCCACAGGGCTGGGGAGGCCTCAGGAAACTTACAATTATGGTGGAAGAGGAAGCAAACATGTCCTTCTTCATGTGGCGGCAGGAAGGAGAAGAATGAGAGTAAAGGGTGCAAAAAGCCCCTATAAAACCATCAGATCTCATGAGAACTCATTCGCTATCATGAGAATAGCATGAAGGTAACTGCCCTCCTGATTCAGTTATCTCGTTTCTGGGTTCCTGCCACCACACATGGGGATTATAGCAACTACAATTCAAGATGAGATTTGGGTGGGAACACACAGCCAAACCATGTCTTACTGTTTCTGGCCCCTCCCAAATCTTATGTCCTCACATTTCAAAACACAATCATGCCCTTCCAGCATTCCCCCAAAATCTTAACTCATTTCAGAATTAACAGTCCAAGTTCAAAGTCTCATCTGAGGCAAGGCAAGTCCGTTTTGCCTATGAGCCTTTACAATCAAAAGCAAGTACCTATTATACTTCCTAGATACAATGGGGGTACAGGCATTGGGGAAATACACCCATTCCAAATAGGAGAAATTGGCCAAAACAAAGGGGCTACAGGCCCCATGCAAGTCTGAAATCCAGTGGAGCAGCCAAATCTTAAAACTCCAAAGTGATCTCCTTTGACTCCATGTTTCACATCCAGGTCACACTGATACAAGAGGTGGGCTCCCATGGCTGTGGGCAGCTCCTCCCCTGTGGCTTTGCAGGGTATAGCCCCCTTCCAGGCTGCCTTCATGGCTGATGTTGAGTGTCTATGGCTTTTCCAGATGCAGGGTGCAAGCTTTTGATGGATCTACCATTCTGGGGTCTGGAGGATGGTGGCCCTCTTCTCACAGATCCACTAGGTAATGACCCAGTGGGGAGTCTGTGTGGGGGCTCTGACCCCATATTTCCTTTCTGCATTGCCCTACCAGAGGTTATCCCTAAGGACTTTGCCCCTGCAGCAGACTTGTACCCGGGCATCCAAGCATTTCTATACATCCTCTGAAATCTAGACGGAAGTTCCCCAACCTCAATTCTTGACTTCTGTGCACCTGCAGGCCCAGCCTCATGGGTAAGCTGCCAAGGCTTGGGGCTTACACCTGCTGAAGCAATGGCCTGAGCTATATGTTGGCCCCTTTTAGCCAAAGCTGAGACACAGGACACCAAGCCCCAAGACTGCACAAAGCAGCAAGGCCCTGGACTTGGACATGAAACCCTTTTTCCTCGTAGGCCTCTGGGTGTGTGATGGGAAAGGCTGCCATGAAGACCTCTGATGTGCCCTGGAAACATTTTGCCCATTGTCTTGGTGATTAACATTTGGCTTTTCATTACTTATGCAAATTTCTGCAGCCTGCTTGAATTTCTCCTCCAAAAATGGGTTTTTCTTTTCTATTGCATGATCAGGCTGCAAATTTTCCAAACTTTTATGCTTTGCTTCCCTTGTAAACGTAAGTTCCAATTCCAAACCATCTCTCTCAAGTGCAAAGTTCCACAGATCTCTAGGGCAAGGGCAAAATGCCACCAGTCTCTTTGCTAAAGCATAGCAAAAGTGACCTTTACTCCAGTTCCCAATAAGTTTCTGGTCTCCATCTGAGACTACCTTAGCCTGGACTTCATTGTCCATATCACTATCACCATTTTAGTCAAAGCCATTCAACAGTTTCTAGGAAGTTCCAGACTTTCCCACATCTTCCTGTCTTCTCAGCCCCCCAAGGCTCTAGGGAGTTTCAAACTTTCCAACATTTTCCTGTCTTCTTCTGAGCCATCCAAACTGTTCCAGCCTCTGCCTATTACCCAGTTCCAAAGTCGCTTCCACATTTTTGGGTATCTTTATAGCAGTGCCCCACTCTCTACAGTACCAATTTACTGTATTAGTCCATTCTTATACCGCTAATAGAGATATACTCAAGACTGGGTAATTTATAAAGGAAAGAAGTTTAATTGACTCACAGTTACACAGGGATGGGGAGGCCTCCTTACAGTAATAGCAGAAAGGGAAGCAAACACGTCCTTCTTCACATGACAGCAGGAAGGAGAAGAATGAGAGCGAAGGGTCGGGGGAAACCCCTTATAAAACCATCAGATCTCACGAGAACTCACTATCACGAGAACAGCATGAGGGTCACTGCCCCCATGATTCAGTCACCTCTCCAGGTCCCTCCCATGACATGCGGAGATTATGGGAATGATAGTTCAAGGTGAGATCTGGGTGGGGTCACAGCCAAAACATATCAATGAGATTGCTGCCAGCTCACACTCTGATGTTTCCCCTCCCCATGTCCAAGCATGCTCTAAAATACTGCAGCCTGGACTATGCCTGAGAGAAGGAGGTTCCTTGAGTTCTAACCTTTGGCCTAGAGGCTGAAAGGCGCACCTCTTACGCACTTAATGTTCCTTTTTTCCTACGAGAAGTAAACTTGCTGATAAAGTGAACAGAGCTGAAGTCGCTGAACAGAGGAGGCTGGGGAAGCACTCTGTCCCTTCACGCCAGGGAACTGAGATGGAGGTTGTCTCATGGGGGCCTTTATTGCCCACCCAGCTGGCATGATGCTTCTTGAGAAGCAGCCCTGTTGTGAGCAGAGAGGGAAGTGTGGCTTGTGATGACCGGAGTTTTCCCTGCACCCCAGCTGCAAAGCACATGGGCTGGGGAAAATGTCCGCCTGGCTGCCAGCCCCAACTTTGCATTCAGCTGTGAGACACTGGACATTTGCTTTTCTCCTCCTGAGTCTCAGTTTCCTTATCTACAATCTGTGGGTCATGATAGCGTCTGCTTCATAGAGTTGTAAAGGGGATTCGGTGAAATAATGCATATGGTCCCGTCATTGGTCCACTAGTTTCGATGACTCTGTTGTCACCATCGAGACACTAGAGGTTGTGTATGGGTTTTGAGCTGCACTTGTTAAAGAACAATCTGTTTGAGAGGGAACCAACTGATTGCTTTTTATTTTATAGTTTAAAAAATATTAGACACCTTGTAATGAAAGCATTTTAATAAAATAGATCATTGTCGTTTCTTTGAATCCAGAGACATAGAGTTTTCAATTAATCACAAACTAAGCCACCTAGCTCTTGTCTTTCAACATGTGGGGAACAGGCGAGGTTGCCCTAAGGCTTAATTCCAGTCCCATAGGTTTGTGGCCACTTGAGGAGGCCATGGCCGTGCATACAGGCATATGCTTGTTGAGCATAGGGGGTTGATGTTCTCTCCTGTTGAGGTCCCTAATCAGGGATGACTTCCTCCTACCATTTGCTCAGTAGAAATCACAAACAAAACACAAAGACCCTACCTCTGATTTCTAAGTATTTCTGATTTAGGAGCAGCAAAGAAAGAATTAAAATGAAAGAAAGCAAAAGGGACTAATTTGGTCCATAGACTGAAACTGAAATGAAACACATCGGTACATCCATTAATTTGGCCTTGAATTTGCCAAAGTTTAATGAGGAAAAATAAACACCTATACTCTTGCTTATAGAGGTGACTGCTTGGAGCAAAGTCCAGCACTCCTCTGCAATGCATTGCTGGTGATACAGCTGCGGTGGGTAGCATGCTTGAACAGTTTTGCTGGTTTAAAAGTTACAGTCTCTAATCTTTGTACTTTTCTAATTCCATGACTTGAAGCAGTCTTCCTATAATGCATTTCACATATATCACAAAATTATTACTATGGAAGGTAATGACAGGTCTTGGAGAAATTATGAACAAAAGTATTATGGGGAGTGAGGGGTTAACACTTAAAGCAGATGTAGTGTCCATTTTTGATCTCATGAAAATATACATAAAATTAGCTTAGGATGTATTTTAAAATGCTGGATTCTTTTTCTGTTGTAATCAATGGATTTCCCTCCTTCTTCTCCCTTGCCACCGTGGCCGCCTCCTCTTCCTTCTCCTCCTCCCCCCTCCTCCTCCTACTCCTCCTCCCCTCCTCTTCCGCCTCCTCCTTCCCTCCCCCCCTCCCCCCCCTTCCCCCCTCCTCCTCCCCCTCCTTCCCCCTCCTCCTCCACCGCCTCCGCCTCCTCCTCCACCGCCTCCGCCTCCTCCTCCTTTCCAGACTGCGCAGACCGTTCTGGTGGTGGTCGTGGTGTTTGGAATCTCCTGGCTGCCGCACCACATCATCCATCTCTGGGCTGAGTTTGGAGTTTTCCCGCTGACCCCGGCTTCCTTCCTCTTCAGAATCACCGCCCACTGCCTGGCGTACAGCAATTCCTCCGTGAATCCTATCATATACGCGTTTCTCTCTGAAAATTTCAGGAAGGCCTATAAGCAAGTGTTCAAGTGTCGCATTCGCAAAGATTCACATCTGAGTGATAATAAAGAAAATAAAAGTCGAATAGACACCCCACCATCAACCAATTGTACTCATGTGTGATAAAAGATAGAGTATCCTTATGGTTGAGTTTCCATGTAAGTGGACCAGGCACAGAAACAAACAGAATATGCTAGTGAGCAATGCTGCACCTTGTTATCTTAACAACAATTCTAGTCATTTTAATTAAATCCCACCTGTGTTAAAAAGTACTTTGATCCATTTAGGAAATTCCTAGGTCTAGTGAGAATTATTTTTCAGTTTTATTTTAGTTCTAAATTACGTTTCAGAAACAAAAGACAATGCTGCATAGTTTTGTTCCTCTTCAGAAATGAAAGCTGAGTAGAATTCCGCAGATAATGTTCAGCTCTTCATAGATTGAGAACTGGCCTGTCAATATGGTCAGGAATATTTGCAGTCTCCATTTTAAAGCAAATTTATTTAGAAAAAAAATTTGAGCTTTAAGTCTTTAAGAGAAGTAATATTGTGAACTCTGTATTTTAAAATATGATCATGGACATACAGTGATGAATTTTTGGCCATTTGCATAGACACATCTATGAAGTGGAAAGAAGGCTTTCTGAAGTCTGTTTGCACAGATGGTGTTTGCTTCCAATTGTAGCTAGTGTACAGAGCTTTGGAAGCCTGTCGTTATACCTCAGGAGTCAATTCAGGGTTGTGGTGATGACCTGGGTTACAGTAGTAGGCACTGTTGATTCAAATTTATCCTGTGAAATTAGGCTTTATAGAGTTAACAAAACAGAGTCAGCGACTACTGTCTCAATAGTGGAAGATGCAAGTAAGTTTTTGAGAATAAAACTGAGTTTTGAAATTTTATGTAAGTACTTGACGAAAGTTTTCATTTTGCCTTGAATGGAACCTACTAAAAAGAGAGATGAAAAAAAAAAAAAACCAGTGAGGTTGATGTAGATAATAATTTCTATGGGACCAAAGACTAGACAGAATTCAGTAAGTCATATGAAGTAATGGTCATGCCTATCGATAAAGCATATTTCATGTTTGATTTAGATGACATTCAAAAAAACCATGGGACTGAATATACCTAGGGGTATCCTATCTTGTACAAATGCATGCGTTTTCATTACATTTGTAATCATGTTTAATGCACATTTCCACCAAATATTATTTCCTCTAAAAATGTTAACTTGGGGTTAAAACTATCACCACTTGAATTTCAAATGTCGTTTTCATAACAATTTTATATTGATGTGTGTTTACAATGAGAAAATGGCATGAAAATATTAAATTATCTTGTATCGGAAAAGTACTTTTCAGACTGTAAGACTTTGATACGTTTTAGGAGGAAGCAAAAGCAAGAATTTTTGTTTGTTTGTTTGTTTGCTAAAAAGGATTTGGCTAGGCACAGTGGCTCATGCCTGCAATTCCAGCACTTTGGGAGGTCCAGCTGGGTGGAGTGCTTGAACTCAGGAGTTTGAGACCAGCGTGGGCAACATGGCAAAACTCGGTCTCAACTAAAAATATGAAAATTAGCTGGATGTGGTGGCGCATGTCTGTAGTTTCAGCTACTCTGGAGGTGATGTGGGGGATCACCTGAGCCCGGGAGGTCCAGGATACAGTCAGCCAAGACTGCACCACTGCACTCCAGCGTGGACGACACAACAAGACTCTGTCTAAAAAAAAAAAAAAATTATGTGTAGTGTACGTCTGTGCCAAATCAGCATGCCACATGAAACATCAAATTTTAGGTAAAAATGCAAACTTCACGTAAGCCTTTGGCATGCTAACTTTTTAACTTTTTTAGCTGGTTCACTTACTTTCACTAATCATATTTCAGTGACCAGTGTTTGTATTTGCGATGTTATTAATAACTCTCTGGATAAAAGGAAAGAAAAATGTTAGAAAGATTTCGAAGTGATATATTTTTATGTTTATTGACCAGAGAAAGAAATTGTGTTTATGTGTAAGTGAGAGTCGTAAAGAATAAGTCCTTTGCATCGAATGTTTTTGCACCTTATTCAAATATATAGGAGCAGAAAAATTTTACCCTGACAATGATACCTCAATGTGATTTGTGGAACTTGAAGCTGTTGTTGCAAACTCCAGAACAACTTCTTTGGGTGTGAATTCACAAAACTGTGCAAAGAAGTGCGCTCTGGTTGCATTTAGATTTGCATGAATGGAAATGATTTCTTGCACCATGGCTATTTCTTTGTTTTCTCCTTCTGATCTGTAAGCACATAAATGGAAGTATTTTTAAAAATGCTGTAGCCATTGTTGCTATTTTCTAGAGGTATGCTGAAAACGTGCTGTGCCTTTTGTCCTTCCCAGATGCTACTGGCGTGTGGGAAGCTTGAGGCACCCCCTGCTTTGCTAAATGTAAATGCTAATTGTTGCGTTTTACAGTTAGATAGGATATACTTCCTGCATGTTGTCATTCTAATCAATTCCTCTTACTCAGAGTTTCGGCTGAGTCTACTTCTAAAACAAATTTTGATAGGGATATGACATCTGCAAAGATCTAAACGTGTACAAAGTTTTCTGAATAAAGAGTTCCAGAAGAACTCGTAAACAGTATGAAATTATCCAGAGAAGTATAGGAGTGTATTGCATTTGCCAAGCATCTGCTTCCTAGCTAGACTTTTCCCTAACATATAATGACCAATTCTGAAGCACCTTCTTTTCCATCGCTAAATAAAGACAGCTTCCCAAGGACACACTTTTTCTCCCAGCATCAGATTGAGGGAGAAATATTGTGTGTGCCTTTGAAGTCAGGCTGCTTGAAACCCACATTTTCAGTTTACTTCAAAGAAAATTGATGCTTTCTACATAGATTTGGTTGTCTCAGTGCCCCAAGGCAGCTGTTATTTTCCTAGGCTTTTTGCTTTCAGGTAAGGAGACAGGCTCTGGGATATTTTGTGGCTGAAATGCTTGCTGTTTCACATGCATAAGCAACAATTTCAGTGTTCTGCTGATGAATACAGTGATGTGGATGGAAACACTTTCTTGTCCTATATCCTGGAGACAGGAAACAGATTCTCTGTGTTGTGTGCTCTTCCGACCAGGTATGTGCTCAGCAATAGGGGGGACTGAGGCCATTTTCTGAATACTTTAGGTAAATTAGTTTTGCTTTTAATTAAATTGTTTTATTTTACACATTGGGAGTAAAACTATTTCTGAATACTTTAGGTAAATTACTTTTGCTTTTAACTAAATTGTTTTATTTTACACATTGGGAGTAAAACCATTTCCTGCACCATCCCAATCTCTTGTGCTTTTATCTTTTTTATCCTAACTCACTTCTATCCAGATTTCCTCTCGATAATATTTACCACAGATAAATTCCTCCTTCGGCCTAGATATAACAAATCAGAGTGGGGAGGAGAGATGCTTGCGGAAGTGCATGAGTCATGCAAGGCTCAGAACTTCTTGTGGCTCAGCTAAAAATCATACTGCATTTCTGCATTCTCACAGATGCTTTGAGGCAGTGCAGCAATCGTAATATGTTAACTGAGACCCAAGATCTCAGCAGGAGAGGACAGCTTACCTGCGCACCCCTTTCCTTTGCAATCATGGCCATGGATATCTGTAAACACTAAACTGCTCATGCTGAAGCAGCATTAGATTGAGGAAAATAACCTATTGTGCAGCTTCTTCATGTTCTTGCTTTAAATGATTTATCAAATACATGTATGTAAACTACATAGACACTAACTGGGGAAATGCATCAAATGTGGCTACGTCCTCTGGAAAGTTACTGTCTGTAATTTGTAAATTTAATCTATACTGTTGCACATATTTTCCATGTCTTAAATTTGTAAGTGGGTTTCTATTAACGATAATCATGTTCTTCTTGGCCATTAAAAATGTTGCATGTAAGGCTATTTCTCAAGTAGATGTTAATGACTTGTTTAATTGTTGACTTACTTATTTTAACAGCTATATGTAGTAAGAACAAGTAGGTGGTTTAAAATTCAGATAGTTACATGTTGGCCTGGAAAGAAAAACATTATGAAATGGTAATTATGTGTGATTTTATTTAACCATATTTTAATATTTTCTCTTTTAGAAGTGGAAAAGTTGAGCCTGAGGAAGAATTTTAAATGCTTAAGACATCTTTAATGGGGGCTGTATCTGCATAAGGCAGAGGTGTCTAAGGAGAGTGTATTGTGTATTGTAATGCATTAGCAGGATGTTTTGTTCATCAGCTTGTGAAAGTGCGGTGGATAATAGATGGTGGTTTCTTTTCGTAGTGTAGCAGGTTCACTCACATTCACGTTTTTTACTTTAGCTGCCATCCTGGGGTTCTGATGGCAGCATGTCTGTTTGACCCTCACACATCTTGGCAGGTCCTGGCTTTTGCTTCTTTGTGGTGCCTGGTGCTACTCACAGTGCTGACTCACTGCAGATGCTCCCCATCCCTCCCCATAGGCCCTGTTCCCGCATTGGGTGATTCTTGGGTTTTGTTCTAGGTGCAGAAATAGTGGGAGAGGCCATAATCGTGAATGATGAATAAGAGGGGAAGGTGGGGCTGGGTGTGTGGTTTACGCCTGTAATCCCAGCACTTTGGGAGACCGAGGCAAGTGGATCACCTGAGGTCGGGAGTTCAAGACCAGCCTGACCAACATGGAGAAATCCCGTCTCTACTAAAAATACAAAAATTAGCCGGGTGTGGTGGCTCACACCTGTGATCCCAGCTACTCAGGACGCTGAGGCAGGAGAATTGCTTGAACCTGGGAGGTGGAGGTTGCAATGAGCCTACATTGCGCCATTGCACTCCAGCCTGGGCAACAAGAGTGAAACTCTTGTCTCGAAAAAATAAAAATTAAAAAAAAAAAAAAAAAGGAAAAAAGAAGGGAAAGCGGCCAGTGAGGGTCTTATCTTTGTATTCATTGGAAATAACCTCCGCTGAATTTTCTCTCTGCATCTTTTCAATATTGGCTTCATTTGCCATATTCAGGCAATTGCTTGAAGAGCTGAACTGTTAGCTCAAGATTTTGTTGGCACTGTTGGATAGAAAGCCTCTCCCTTTCTGCTGGAGACCAGATTTCTCAAGCCACGTTGTGTAGCTCCGAATTCTCTGCAATTAGGGAAGGCACAGTGAAGAAAAGATCCCTTGCTGGTGGAATAGACTGGAACTGAGCTCCACTGTTTAAATTCTTGACTCTCAGGTAGTGGAGATCAATATGGTAACCCGGGAACTGGGATGAATTTTGGGGCCTGCTGTGGGTTTTCTCTGGGACACCATATACCACAGTACTGTATTTCAAAATGTTGGATATTGATTATGAACACTGGAACTATTTATGTGTCATTATTCTAGAGAGCATTGTGATCTATGAAGCTCTTTTTGCTGGCTAAGTGAGCTTGTTTTTGGGCAATCTGGCTAACATGTCACATCATGGGGAAAATGCAGATGGTGCTGTGGCTGGTGCTAATGAAGAATGACCTGGGCCCAACGTAGAACTTTTCCAGTATGGGGAGCCCCAAAGCAGGCAGACGTCCAAAAGCTGAGTGAAGGGCAGATCACCGGGTGCTACCCAGGCCCTGCAGGCAAAGCTCTCAGGGCCCCATTTATGTTTGTGTGGCCTGCACTGTGTAAGTGGCATTCCCCTAGGACTTCTACAATGGGGTACGTGTAAGGCCTTCAGTATATAATGGACTTAGTCAAGTATCTAAGGGTTCACTGCCTTGTTGGAGGAATCACAGAGCATCATTTCTGATTGGTTCTTAGAGCCTGCATCTTGTAGCGCTGGGGCTTCTGGAGACCTCTGGGGACTGTTGACTATGCCGGGGGGGTGGAGAAATGAAGCTGATGGCAGAAGCAGGATCCCAGCTCCTCCTCTCCTTCTCAGCCAGGCGATTCTTACCTCCATTGGCCTTTGGATGTCTCTGTAATAATTTGTTGAGAATCATTAGAGAAGAACTAATCCAAAAAATCTATCATCCTTTATTTGTGTTGTGTTGACTTTCTGATTATGCCTTCATTCACTCTTTTTATTATTCATACTGTTTTTATTCTTCCCTACTCTTTTCTTAAAGTTGGTCATATTTCTACACGTGGGATCTTCCAATTTCTGTGAATGTTGAGGGGTTCACAAAGTGGCTTGGCCCCAGACCTCTATATCCTTGTTATTTTGTTTGGACTTAGGACTTTTTTTTCCTGGCTATCCTGTCAATACTTTTCCGTCTAACAGAAACTCAAGCTTCGTGAGCAAGTAATTTTTATAACAGATCATGTGAGCAGTTCCTCCATAGCATTGGTTGTAGCACAGGTCAGTTGGCTTGTGGCCTCCTGAGGGCCTTGCGTGGGGTTCTGGACCCAGCGGGGGCCGCGTCTCTGAGAACTCATTCCCTGTGGGTGTCTGGGGTGCATCGTTACTTCTGAGATGCTATGACTCAGCAGATGAGATTTGTCCGTCTGCCCAGTGAGAGGAATTC